CACACACACACACATGCCCCTCATCAGCTCTCTGGCTGAAAAAGCCGCATCTGCCACTGACGTCCCCGTGCAGAGGTGTCCACCCAACTGCGCACATCTGGTTTTGCGGTCCTCCATCCAGGCTAGTTTCGTTTAAACAGCCCTAAGGGAAGAAAGGAAGCCAGAAAAAGTCAGAGAAAAAGTCAGCTGGAGACACAGGTAGTCCACAACTCACGACCACAAGGGAGCCCAGAATGTCCGTCCTTAAGCAAGACGGCTGTGAAATGAGTTTCGCCCCAGCGTCGCTAAGAGAATCCCTTCCGTTGTTAAAGAGAGTCACCTGGTCGTTAAGCCAATCCGGCTTTCCCCCACTGACTTTGCTGGTCAGAAAGTCGTCAAAGGGCATCGCGTGACACACACACACACACCCCGGGACGCTGCAAACAGTCATAAGTACATGTCAGTTGCCGAGCATCCGAATTTTGATCACGTGACCACAGGGAAGCAAAGTGGGAAAACAGTCACAAATCAGTGTCGTCGTAACTTGGAACGGCCGCTAAAAGAATGGTTGTAAGCCGAGGGCTACTTGTACACAATAGTTCAGACATACATCCCAGCCATACAAAGAGGGGGGGTGTCCCAAACAAAGGTGGCCCCCAACTTAATCTTACCTACATTGGCAGATCCCTCCCTTTGGGGATATGAGAAATAACTGGATCGGAAATGTAATTAAAATCCTGGTACATATCATAATATCCAAAATACATATTTTATCTATTTGAATATAATCTTGTTATCAAGTGAGATAAGGGAAATTTTGGTTACCCAAAGTCTGAAAATTATAAATATTAAAGGTCAAAGGTCTATTCTGTTCTGTTCTATTCTATTCTATTCTATTCTATTCTATTCTATTCTATTCTATTCATTATTCTATTCTATTCATTATTCTATTCTATTCTATTCATTATTCTATTCTATTCATTATTCTATTCTATTCTATTCATTATTCTATTCATTATTCTATTCTATTCATTATTCTATTCTATTCTATTCTATTCATTATTCTATTCTATTCATTATTCTATTCTATTCTATTCTATTCTATTCATTATTCTATTCATTATTCTATTCTATTCATTATTCTATTCTATTCTATTCTATTCATTATTCTATTCTACTGTACTTTACTGTACTCTACTCTACTCTACACTACTCTATTCTATTCTATTGTATCCTATTCTATTCATTATTCTATTCTATTCATTATTCTATTCTATTCTATTCTATTCTATTCTATTCTATTCATTATTCTATTCTATTCATTATTCTCTTCTATTCTATTCATTATTCTATTCTATTCTATTCTATTCTATTCTATTCATTATTCTATTCTATTCTACTCTATTCATTATTCTATTCTACTGTACTTTACTGTACTCTACTGTACTGTACTGTACTGTACTGTACTCTACTCTACTCTACCCTACACTACTCTATTCTATTCTATTGTATCCTATTCTATTCATTATTCTATCCATTATTCTATTCTATTCATTATTCTATTCATTATTCTACTCTACTCTACTCTACTCTATTCTATTTTCTATTCTATTCTATTTTTATTCTGAGGGACTGGCTCAAAGTCACCCAGCTGGCTTTCATGCCTAAGGCAGGACTAGAACTCACCGTCTCCTGGTGATTGGCCCAAAGTCACCCCACTGTCTTTTATGCATAAGGTGGGACTAGAACTCACCATCTCCTGGTGATTGGTCTACAGTCATCCAGGCAGCTTTCGTGCATAAGGTGGGACTAGAACTCACAGTTCCTAGCCTGGTGCCTTAACCATTAGACCAAACTGGCTCTTTTGATTGAAAGCAAACTCAGCCACTCCACCCAAGGGGGGCCTGCCTGGCGGGGGGCGCAGGGGGGTCTCCTTACCTGCAGCATTTACTGAACAGATGATGATGATGGCCGATCCCAGCACGATGGACAGGATACTCAGGAACCTGGCCACACGGCCTAAGCGGCGGGCTCCGTCCACGTCCCCTTGAAGGTTGCTGTTCCTCGACTGGGGGAAAGAGAAGAGAGGAGAAATGGGCAGTTCGGGAAAGGAAGAACGTTTGGGCCAGCCTTGCGAGGTAGGCCAGACAAGGAGTGCCAGTTCTTTCGTTTCTTGTAAGGTTATATTAAAAGAATCTTGCAAGGTCTCCCTCGGGGGGGAGAGGGCAGCGTGTGCGTGTGACAGATGATAGATAGATAGATAGATAGATAGATAGATAGATAGATAGATAGATAGATAGATAGATAGATAGATAGATAGATAGATAGATAGATAGAAGAAACAAAGAAAGATGAGAGAGAGATGAAAGAAGAAAAGAAAGAAAGAAAAGATAGATGATAGATGATAGAGAGAGAGAAGATGAAAGAAAAAAAAGAAAGAAAGAAAAGATAGACGAGATAGATAGATAGATAGATAGATGAAAGAGAAAGAAAGAGATAGATATAGATGATAGACAGAGAGAAAGAGAAGATGAAAGAGAGAAAGATAGTTGATAGATGATAGAGAGATGAAAGAAGAAAAGAAAGAAAAGATAGCTGATAGATGATAGAGAAGATGAAAGAAGAAAAGAAAGAAAGAAAGAAAAGATAGAAGATAGAGATAGATATAGATAGATAGATGGAGAGATAGAGATAGAGATAGAGATAGATAGATAAAGAGAAAAAGAGATAGATGATAATGATAGAGAGATAGAGAGAAGATGAAAGAAAGAAAGAAAAGATAGATGATAGAGAGATAGAGATGAAAGGAAAGAAAGAAAGAAAAAAGAAAGAAAGAAAGAAAGAAAGAAAAAAGAAAGATGGATGGCTAGATAGATAGATAGATGGATGGAGAAAGAGAAGTTGAAAGAAAGAGAAAGAAAGAAAGAAAGAAAGAAAGAAAGAAAGAAAGAAAGAAAAGACAGAAGATAGAGATATAGATAGTCTCTGCTCAAGCAGGAGACCGTCTAGCCCAGTGGTTCTCAACCTGTGGGTCGGGACCCCATTTGGGGTCGATCGACCATTTCACGGGGGTCGCCAAACAAGGCTGTCCACCATTTTTTTTGTCCGCCATTTTTTTTGTCCGCCATTTTTTCCCCCTTTTCCGGCGGGTGCCTTACCTCCCTTGGGCTGGGCCAGCTGGTGGTCGGCCTGCTCCGTCTCTGCCGCTTGCCAGCTACGCCTCGGCCGGCGCAGGGGGCGGAACCACGCATGCGCGGCGCTCCCGGGCAGGGAAAGTCCTTGACTTACGACCGGTTGGGTAGTCCTCGACTTACGACCGGTTTAGTCCTCGAATTATGACCGGTTTAGTCCTCGACTTACGACCGGTTGGGGTCGTGGCATTAAAAAGGTTGAGAACCACTGGTCTAGCCGGCCATTTCAGACAAGTGACTCTTAACTCTCTTCTTAAAAGCCTCCAGTGATGGAGCACCCACAACTTCTAGAGGCAAGCTGTTCCACAGGTTAATTGTTCTCACTGTCAGGCAGTTTCTGCTTCGTTCTAGGTCAGATAATAAAATGGAGGGGCATCCTTCCCCCCACCTTTGCAGCCCCAGAAACCAGGCCTTTCCCACGTCCCTCTTCCTTCTCTGGGCTCAGCTGCCTCTTTGCGGACCCCTGCCCAGTTTGAGGCTCTCCCTCCTGCCCCCCCCCAGCTCCTTCCTTCCCACAGACCACGATCACTTGCGATCTGTTCGTGCAAAGCTATTGTTGACCCACAAACGTCCCTGTTCCGCCTTCTTGGCACATGCACAGCCATTTGCCCCTTCCAGGGTGGGGCAGCTCTTAAGAGGGACCCCTGGCAGGGAACCTCTGCCCCCCCAATGGAGCCAGAGTCCCAGGCTGTCTGTTTGTAGGTCACTGCTGGGCCACACTGCCCCATGTCCCATAAACCATGCCTGGCTAAGGCCTTAGAGTGTCCTCCTCCTCCTCCTCTCAGCAAACCCCACTCTTTTCTTGCACTGATAATGTTACCTAGTTGGGTCATGAAAGGTCTGCAAGAACAAAACCAACCTCAAAGTACCAGGGACATTACAGTTCTCCTTCTCCACCTTCTCCTCCTCCTCCTCCTTCTTCTTCTCCTCCTTCTCCACCTTCTCCTCCTCNCTCCTCCTCCTCCTCCTCCTCCTCCTCCTTCTCTTCCTTCTCCTCCTCCTCCACCACCACCACCTCCTTCTCCTCCTCTCAGGAAACTCTACTCCTTTGCTACAGTGATAATGTTACCTAGTTGGGTCATGAAATGTTTGCAAGAAAACAACCAAGCTCAGAGTACCAAGGATACTCTCCTCCTCCTCCTCCTCCTCCTCCTCCTCCCAGCATTTATGATGTTAGTTAGTTAGGTCATGAAATGTTTGCAAGAAAACCGCCCAGCTCAGAGAGCACCCAGGACCCCACAGTTTTCCTCCTCCTCCTCCTCCTCCTCCTCCTCCTCCTCCTCCTCCTCTTCCCAGGGCAGGCTTCTTTTCCTGAAGCTCCGAAAGCCAGCTCCATTGGCCTGGATTTAAATCGGAAACAGCAGGATTCCTGCCCTAAGCTATAAAATCCCAAGATAAATTTCACTCGGTCCGACATTCGCTTGGTGCTGCTGTACAAAAGTAACGCAGAAAGTCCTCCACTTACAATCATTCCTTTAGCCACCATTCAAAGTTACAACTGCCCTGGAAAAAAAAAAGGGACTCACCCCCCTTTTCCATTCTTGCAGCCTCCTGGGGTCACGTGATCAAAATTTCTGGCGCTAAACACGAGACGGTCGTTGCGTGAGTTTCTTGTGCCATTTTGCGACCTTTCTTGCCACTGAATCACCGCGATTGTTAAGTTGGTAACACGGTTGTTAAGCGAATCCGGCTTCCCTGTTGACTTTGCTCATCAGAAGCTCCCAAAAGGGGAATCACGTGACTCCGGGATGCTGCGACCGTCATAAATACGAGTCAGTTGCCGAGCCTCTGAATTTTGAGCACGTGAGCCACGGGGACGCTGCGACGGTCATAAGTGTGAAAAACTTACTGTCTCTAGACTGAGTTTCGACTCTCCTTAAAAAACCTCCAGGGATGGAGCAGGCCACAACTTCTGGAGGCAGGCTGTTCCCCTGGTTAATTCTTCTAGCTCAGTGGTTCTCAACCTTTTTAATGCCGCGACCCCAACCGGTCGTAAGTTGAGGACTAAACTGGTCATACGTCGAGGACTAAACCAGTCGTAAGTCGAGGACTACCCAACCGGCCGTAAGTCGAGGACTTTCCCTGCCCAGGAGCGCCGCGCATGCGTGGTTCCTCCCCCTGTGCCGGCCGAGGCGTAGCTGGCAAGCGGCAGAGACGGAGCAGGCCGACCACCTGGCCCAGCTCAAGGGAGGTAAGGCACCCGCCGGAAAAGGGGAAAAAAATGGCGGACAAAACAAATGGTGGACAAAAAACATGGCGGACAGCCTTGCTTGGCGACCCCTGTGAAATGGTCGATCGACCCCAAATGGGGTCCCGACCCACAGGTTGAGAACCACTGTTCTAGCTGTAAGGAAATTTCAGTCCCTTTTTCCAGTGCCGTTGTAACTTCAAACCGTCACTAAGCGAATCATTGTAAGCTGAGGACCCCCTGTACCGAAAGACCTGAAAAAAGATGTCACCAGAACTCTGATTTTTTTTTTTTTACTAAGGAGATGTGAACAGTGGTCCAAATTATATTAGTATTATTAATCACAACGAGCATGACGGATGCTCAGCATTAGGGCCGTTACTATAAGAGTTTGCTGTTTGCTATTTATTTATTGCTATTCCATATTTATTCAGCCAAGTTTCACCTTCTAGCAAACGTGTGTGTGTGTGTGTGTGTGTGTGTGTGAATTGTTTTCCGGAAAAGTGGCAAAAAAAAGCCCTTGTAATCAATTAATAAATGCAAAGGCCATTTCGCAATCTTATGATTAACGGCAGAGCAGAAATCCATTAACAAAGTTGGTCTTTCCGTTCTCAGCCATACTTCCACTTTCACCTGTGTGTGTGTGTGTGTGTGTGTGTGAGAGAGAGAGAGAGAGAGAGAGAGAGAAAGACATATACTATTATTATTATTATTATTATTATTAATTTAATTTCTATACCGCCCTTCTCCCGCAGGACTCAGGGCGGTGCACAGCATATTAAAAACAGATACAATAACAATATACAAAAATAAAAAACCCTTCTAAAACCAAATTAAAAACCAAATATTTGAGGCTGTGTTCCAATTAAAATTATACTTAAAATCGTCCCTAAATAAAATTCACCCTAGGTCAGTCCCGCTTGCTGAAAAAGCCATGTCTTGAGGGCACGGCGGAAAGTAAGGAGATCCGGAATCATCCGGATCTCTGGGGGCAGTTCATTCCAGAGGGTGGGGGCACCCACAGAGAAGGCCCTCCCCCTGGGGGTCGCCAGCCTACATTGTTTGGCCGATGGCACCCTGAGGAGGCCCGCTCTGTGGGAGCGTACCGGTCTATGGGAGGGAATCTGTGGCAGAAGGCGGTCTCGGAGGTAGCCAGGTCCGATGCCATGGAGCGTTTTAAAGGTGGTAACTAACACCTTAAAACGCACACGGAAGACCACTGGTAGCCAGTGCAGCTCACGCAAGAGCGGTGTTACATGGGAGCGACGAGTCCCTCCCAACACCGCCCGCGCGGCCGCATTCTGGACCAGTTGAAGTCTCCGGGTGCTCCTCAAAGGGAGCCCCATGTAGA